AGAAGAACTTTTCATTTGGATTGGGATTCGCCGAGTCACGAAACTGGAACAGTGAAGAGACGACCAGCTTCTATTGGTGTGTCGTTATCTTGTACTAAAAATCATTTTGAAAATGTCGAATATTACGGTTATGATAATCCAGGGAATTCGAAATCCGTCAACGTTATCGGTCACAATTATAAATATACTAAATGCGAAACAAATGGAAACGATGATCGCGTTGTTCAAAAGAAAAATAAAGATAAGGAAAAAATATTTGTCGACCGTGAAATTCATAAACGTCAAAGTACCATGATAAAAGGAACGAAAAGTATCGATGCAACTGCAAACCTTGTAAAAATAGATCCAAGAACAGGATTCGATTTAAAATTATTTTCTGAGAAAACTATCGAGTCTTCGAGATCAAAGTCCTCCAGTATCAGAAATATCGTAAGAACCAATGGAATCTCGAAAAGGAGCTTAATCCCAAAATCGAAAATAACAAGGCCTTCTTCATCCGGATTTCGAGGATTGGTGAATTCCAGTTCGGACAGTTCGGGAATAGGATCACCATTGTCGCCGTTGTCACCTCAAAGGGACTCCTCGATCGACTTAAAAGAGATACCGAAAAATATCAAACCCAGTGAAAGCAACAGTTCGGGTTTGGGGTCTCCTGATTCGTCCTTATCACCGGAGACTCAAACGTACGCGGATTTTGATTCGATACAACAACAACAATTGGAAAAGTATAAAGTATCTTGTAAGGACAAGATACAACAAATTAAGGTAAAAATAAAATACATTTGATATGATTCGTTAAACGAATACTATTTGATATAATATTATAATATAAACGAGAAGACACTTGTTTAGAATAATTGGACTGACAAGAGTTATGCATAAACAGACTAAACATAAGTTTTTACAAAATTTAATTTTTGTTGTCAATTGTTAAAGAAGATATTGTACCAATATCAATTTATATTAGTTTACAATTGATTACAAAAACAATGATAAATAAAAGCGCATTAATATTACATAGTAAATAATTAACGAACTTGCATTTGGTCATTTTCATCATGTAACGCATCATAATATTGGTAAAATATTAAAATCGTTTTGCATTCGAATGATTATATGTACGGGTTAAAAGAAATAACGAGAAAAATGTGGATCTCGCAAAAAATAGGAAAAACACAATTCGCGACATATGTACTTACTTACTTACTTACTTACGTTCTATGAGTCTCATACGCGTATTGCTCTAGGATCAATGAGTTTAGACGAGAGTAATAAATCTTGTGAGTCACGGTGATTTCTGACCGACCACGGGCGACCCCATGAGCGTGCAACCACGCACGATGCAAAGGAATTACGCGCACCCTCTTTCTTGGTATAATCGCGTGTATACTACGTTACGATCGCAAACGTGAATGGAGTACAAGTAATACGCGAATATATTTCGCATCTGCTCGCTTCTTCGTTCGTTCGTAAAAAATTACACATTTCCGATAATAATATTTCTAAGTTGAGAAGACCATATTTTATTTCTACGCGTTACGTTCCAAGCCAAGTTTAGCAAAATTTATTATATTGCATTTTTATATTTCTAATCATTTTTACATGAGAAATTACGAGATATATCTATGTATAAAAAATATATCGTATATATCTTGTGCTCTGGAACGATGTCGCGTGTTTGATACGAGTGAAATTTGCCTTTTGAATTTTTTCAAAGCTTGTACAGTGTTACCCCGTTAGAAAGGAACATGAAACTCCCATGAGACTAGGGTCCTTTTACGGCCCAACGCCAACGTATGATTGCAACGATACCATCCACCGTCCGCTCGTCCTCCTTTATTAAGGGTATTCTCATCCTATGCGTTTGCAAGGGCTTATTCTCACGCTCGCAATTTTTACCTGATTTTAGTTTTTAAGGATTCATTAATTAAAAGATAAAGATAACACAGGAATGTTAGTTATTCAATTAACGAATTTTCAAGTTTAGAGTCATTTTAACATGTTTTATTATATTTTTATTCTCACCCGTCTGAAATATACACACACTAGGTATATTAGAATAAACAAAACATCGTAGATATGCTTATAATTAATTTAATGTATAAAAATATTAACATAGATAAAAATATACAGGCTAATAATGTCATTAATAAAGAGAGATCGAAAGGTGTTTGAATTTTTGTAATTGATAGAAAGTTCATAGATATTCATTGTTCATTGTAATAAAGTGTCAGAGAGTGAACGTAAAAAAGAAAATAAGAAAAAAAGAAAAAGCTCGCGCGACAACGCTCGCGGAGGGTCCTTTGTGTACGGGAGGGTCCTTTACTTTCATGTGGAAAAAATGATTCGCAATAATCCTACAGGCAGTGGCATGGCAATAACGTTCCCGTAAGCCACCCTTCGCGACGTAGGAGATTCAAAGTGGTTCTTCGACGATTTGTCCGATTCCGTTCCTTTGAATGTTCGCTGGAAAATGGCATTGGAAAGAGTAACAGATAGAGAATCTCTGAGAGCAAAAAGGACTAAGCCGCAGGATCGTCAGAGCACACATTATTATATTGAATTTGTGGAAACGGAAAAGTTAGTCTTGAATCGTAAGGTCGCGGGTATACAAAGTAAAGAATAACCTAACCTTGACTGTCTCTCTCTCTCTTTTTTTGTTTTTTTTAATACGACTTTATTAATTATGAAAATAACCGCATTATTGAAACTTGTTCACCTTTGTTTTTTTAAGTATTCACGATTTCGGTAGAGATCTTCCTAACGAAAATCGCCATTTCTTCGATAGAAATCTGATTAAAATCTCATTGGTATCCACACCCTTTTCACGGACACGTGGACAATGTTCCACCAAAAAAAAAAAAAGAAACAAGAAATCCAGCTAATTGATTGACGCGCGTTCCTGTGCGTGTCCCAAGCGATGATGGATCTTCCCCCCCCCCCTCCCTTCCTCCTTCCCCCAGTTCTTTTTGTTTTTAGAATTTTTTACAAGCTTTTCCTGCCTTAACTTTTCTTCCTGTTTATTAATATTTACTTACTTCCATTATTTAATATTTCCCTTGATTCGTATACTTAAATGTACAGTTGCTATTTCGTGATTAAAATCACGAACAAAAGTAATTAATTCTGCGAACTAAAAATAAATGTTTTCCTCCGATGTTATCCATCCTGTTTATCCAGAAACAAATGGAATACAATTCAATTAAAAATCAAGTACAATTTAAATAACAAATTTGAATAACAACAACTAAAAAAAAGAATTTCCTATCGCGTATCCTCATTCTGTGTAGATTGCAATGCGTGCTCTGATTGTTAGAATGGTTGCGTTGTACTAAGGGAAAGGGAATGATCGCTACCCTAAGCTACCACCTTCTTTCACCAACGTACATATAATCTACCCTTTCCTTTCATCCACATCATACTCCTCCTCCTCCTCATTCTCCTCCTACTGAAACTTCGTGTTGCTTCATAGGATAGGCCTCGGTTATTTAGCATGCATCCGAAATCTTCTGCTGTGACGAGCATTCCCTATAAATATGGAGATTTCGTTCGCACCAAGTCCCACTATGAGGGACTTTTTCAAGGGTGCTTTCCTTTCCCGTACGACTTTCATCAACGATGTCAACCGCATTAACTTATACACCATTGCGAGTGACGCGAATGGGTTTGATGATTTCGAGTTTACGGAAAGGGAAAAAAAGACAAATTGTATTCTTCAAATAAAAAAAAACATCGCGTTAAAATTTTAATAAACATTTTTATTAAAAACGATTACACCAATAGATAGTAGATATTCTTCTACGTTAAATTTTGTTTACCCCTTTTGACGTGTGTTATTAAAATAATAAACGGTTCGTATATAAATATCTAAATAAAACGTTACAACGTTATTATTATTTTAACGCTTGCTTTTCAAGGAGAGATAATTAAACGAATTTTGGAGATATTCGTAGGAAAAAAGCATTTTTCATCGGACAAAGTTCTTTCAGCAGCTCCTTCCTTTCAGCAAGCGTCCGCTTGTCGTTTCAGTAGGGATCGAGCCGTTCGTCGATTCTCCCAGAGTGCTTTTATAATATTCACCCCTAATGTACATACATGAGGAGGGCTTGATGATTTTCTCTCGCTCCAACACCGTACAACGTTTACGTGACGTACTGTGTCTGATATAAAAAGCATAATGAAAAACCCCAAAATTTCATTTGTTTAGGGAACAAAATATGATAAATTTTCTTATTAATTTTCATTCACAAAGTTAAATCGTTCTAGGAATACATACATTAGAATCAAATCAGCATAATGTATTATAAAATCCATAGAAAAATTTTATCAACATTTTCGAAAAATATTTCGATCGAAAGTGAAACTCGGTTACAAAGGTGAACCATTTTCATGGATTATTTACCATTATAAATATTATATCTGTCACACTGGGGTAAACCACTATCACAGGCATCTTGGCTTTCATCCAAACAATTCATTCGGTTAGGCGTAAAGTAGACGATTCGTAAAAACGAGTCGACGCACTCGAAAGTGATTAGGCGAGCTCGTAAACTCGAGGACTCGAGTTACGTGTAGTAGTAGGAAATGGTTGGTGGAAAGGGGGGGATAAGAGAGGGTGAAGAGCAGGAACCAGGAAAATAATTGACTGGTTCTCGTCCCTTTTCATTTCACGCTCAGAGAGACTCGGACATACCTGGCTGCGCGTAGATACGTACTTACGTACGTTGTACGCGCGGCGTGATAGTGCGCGCGCGCACAACCTAGTCTCTTCATCCTGCGGCGGGTTCGACGCTTCCAAGCATCCTCCTCCTCAGTTCTATCGAGGATCCTTGGAGAAGCGTCCACGCGTTTATCCTTTTGCCATTATAACATCATCGATTGATCAACGTTACCGTGTCTCGATTGTCATCGATAATTATTCGTATCGATTTTCGCGTTACCTCCGACTTTTTTGTTTAATTTTTTCTTTTTTTTTTTTTCTCGAGGACCTCCTCTACAACTTTACGAAAATTTTCTTTCTTTTTTTTTTTTTTTCTATCGCGACGATTTAATCAAGGCAAACAAAAAATGTGGCTAGAATGTCCGGCCTGTCCGAGATCAAATTACCCGTGCTTTATACGAAAGGTAGCAGTGGCAGCAGTAGCAGCAGTGGCAGTAACAGAGGCAACAACAATAACAATAACAATAACAATATCAACGGTACGAAACCTAAGAACAAGTCCAGTACTAAGAGGATGACCGCATCAAAATCCATCGTTCAATCGGTAGACGGATGTACGGGTAATGGATCGTTGGAAACTGTCCAAATAGAATCATCGTTTCCAAGTCCTGTAAGATCTCGTAGCGCTTTCTGTTCACCTAAGAAGGTTACCAATCAGAATTTAGATTCTACGACGATCAAAAAGTCACCTAAGAGGTGTGTACAATTAGACGAACGACATTGTTCGCTAAATAGTTCGAATCGTTCGCCGAGAAGACGAGAATTATCCTTTTCCGAGGACTTCGATCAAGACGAGATGGGTTTGACTTTTGATTTTTATTCGAGAAACGCGGAAAACAACGAGCCATGTTTGTCATTTCTCAAATTCGAATCTCTTTACACTATGGAGAAACAAATGTTGATGCATAGTATTCCTCTTTTGGAAGGAAAAGATGTTTTTCTTGGTAGCAGGCGAGGCCTATACACCGAATTACCGGATTCGGATCCGTTAATTCAACAGCGACAATACCATCAGCAACAAATTGGTCCGATTGGCTCAGCCAACAAGGTGGCCTCTCAATTCCCCATGGAAGGCTTCAGTTACGCACCGGGCTGGGCTCTGAACGCTGATCATTTTTATCAATGGCAACATCGAGGAAAAACAACTCAGCAGGTAGTAAACAAAGTGCGCACTCTCATAACAATTTAACCCAAGACTACTCTAGCAACAAATTATTATTATCATCGAATTTTTATTATCATAATTTCCATTGTCAATTTAGCTGACTGTAAGCTTACTGGAATCGTATTATTAACTATAATCTATTAAAATAATACTCGTATATTACTTATCTTCAACGATCTCTGACATATTTTATTAATCATAATTATTTACTAAAAATATAAACGAAATAAAATAATGAAAATGATCGTACACAAAAAGAAATAGACATTTTAGTACGTATGCTAATACGTAGAAAACAAATTATTTCCATATTTGTTACGATCTTTTATACGATCGAAGAATCGATCACGAGGTGTACAGAAAATCTACCGTTTATTCGTTAAATGAAAATGAGGTGCTGTCAGTGGCACACGTTTTAGGCAGAGGTAATACTCTCGCATGTCGCTCGATCGAAGTTCGATGTTACGTTGGCACTCTCGCACGTTCTAGTTGGCTCTCGATCACGTTGCTGTTGCAAACCGCGTTTCGAATTAATTGAAAACCGGAAGCAATTTCGACAAAGCCTTTCGTTTCCAAATGGTACCTTCGATATGCGTTTAACACCACGTTCCTCTTCCAAACCTTTTTCTATCTCTCTCTCTGTTATTCTCTTTTTGTTATTTTCTCTGTTGTTTTCATCTCACTGTTACTTTCACTGTTACTCTTTACATTTAGGTATCTCATTCCGTTTTTCGTTTTAGGTATCAACGCAGCTCGCTCAATATTCTCTCTCTCTGCTTCCTCTCCTCCCCCTTCCAACCACCCACCCCCCCTGTTTCTCTCACTACAGCCCCCAAGGCAAAATCCTACGAGAGAAGCGATTTTCGCGTTAGTCCCCCTTTCGTTACCCCCCCCCCCTTATTTCTCTCTACCTCTCCACCTCCTCCTCCTCATATCCCCCTCATATCCTCCCATTTACTCCCCCCCCGTTCACGTCGCGATTCCCCTATCCTACTAATTTTAAAAATCGTGCGGCCGGTGTGCGGTAGAACGCTATCGAATTTCACTGCATTTCGTTTCTCCCGCGAGCGATTTATTACCCAAAACTTTATTTACCTTGCTTTGAAACACGCCATCATAATATGATACAGCGCCCACGCGCGCGATATTCTACGTTTAATTCGAATTTACCGGTTCTTCCTTAATCTTATTGCATACATTTTTTACTTCTTTTCTTTTTTTCATTCTACCGTTTCGTCTAGGAACTTATCTCACCCGTACATCGATACGTTTACTTTGATAAAAGAACTTTGGAGGATCCTCGGGAGGTCGGGAGGTTAGAACCTTCGTGAAGACTATCAAATATGCTGCCCGAGGGTGCGAAGGTACTTTGATCAATCTCAAGAAAGCGTAGCTACTCCTCTTGCTTCGGTTGCTTCTCTTACTTGATGTTTACTTTAAGGGATCCTACCGACTACCAGCATCTTTCGAAAGGAGCCACACAAAGTCGTCGTGATCGTGCCTTTTTTCTCGCTTATACATATTGCAGAAGAATTATTCCTAGCTTTGGATGCTCCCTCATTCTCTCTGTCTCTCTCTCTCTCTCTCTTTCTCTCTCTCTCTCTGTCTCTCTCTCATTCTGTCGATTAACCGAAAACGGTTGAATGATTTTCGATTTTTCCTTACTCTCATCTTCTTTTTCCCAAACTCATGATTATCGTCCCAACAGAGTAACCTTTTCTATTACTCATTTTTTAATACATTGATCATATATTCTTTTTATCGTATTTATAATTCAATCTCCTTATTACTTCATTCAAACAGATTAAAGAAGTTCTTAATTAAGATGCCAGAAGTATGTAAAGTAGTACTGAAAGCATAAACTAATTATCTTCCATTTTATCGCGAGGTTTTTAATTTTAGTCGTTTGATTTTGTTAATTTTGTCATGGAAATAAATGCAATTCGTTTCCCCATTATTAATTCTGAAAATGTTAAAATAATATTGATCGATAGCGTAGATACACGTTATTTTCAATGATTATCTCAATCGCGATCAAAATAATATTTATTAATTGAAAAAAATTATTTATATAATTTAAAGAGATATCCTGAAAATGTAATAATATCAAAGTTGTATTATTCACATATTATAAGACAAATTCTATAAAATTATATTCGAAGGATTTTTGTTTAAGAAATAGGAAGAATTTCGGGATGTTTACGGGATAGTCCCGTATACATGTGAAAGTGTAAATATCGATTCTCGCGTTTGATACTCCTTTGGGCGATATGGGTTTTCCATGAACGTGGTTGCTTGCACACGATTCCGTGTCCAAAGGAGCGTGAGTCATCGGGACGAGTCGACGATTTGATTAAAGATCTATTTTCTTGGTAAGATAGTTCGTACGATGGGCCAAAGATATTTACTTTGCCTTGGGGTAGGCTCATCCCCAGTAAATTCGGGGAAGGTCTCCAAGTAAGCGAGCGTACGTACGCGACCTAAATCATTTAGCTTGCAATTGCCAATTCGCAGCCCCAACTAAATCAGCCCTTCGTTCCGTTACTCTCTATCCATTTCCTGTCTTTTCTTCTTTTCTTTTCCTTGCTACGCGTGTTCCCTTCCTTATGATTTATTTTATATATTTTCTATATATATATATATATATCCATTTTTCCATTAATTTAAACAATTTTGATTTCTTTCAAGATATTTTTCACTTATGACGTTATTTGTGAAAAATGGGGAAAAGGCACGTGCTTTAACTTGAGACACGTTGAGACAATGGAAGATTGCTCTTTTCTAAAAGCACGGAGTAACTCCCCTCTCGTTTACGTCTTTTCGTTGCTTTCCCGTTGGAAACAGGAGGGACGTAACCAAAGACAGGAAGAGAGAGGAAGAAACGGCAGGGAAAAATCCTTTTTTCATTTTAGTCATCCGTGCCAGGAACACTCGGAATTCAACGTGCTTTCTTAGCACAACGAACCCCAAGAAACGCCAAGGCTCGTTAGGGCTTTTTCGAACGAGTTAGTACCCCCCGTAGTAGATACCAAATTTTATCTGAAATTCTTCTCTTGCCCAACCTTCTTTACGTGCATCGAAAGAAATTATCGTTATTATCGATATACGTAAAAATGATTACGTGGTATTTATTTGAATGTGATCGAGACGTGATCGAGCACGATCGGATTAGCGTGGGCCAGTTAGTTTTTGCATAGAGGAGCCTACACTACAAAATAACAGACACGATAAACAGGTAGGATTCTGGTATACAATGGTAGGGTTGGGCTCGGTTGCCGTTCGTGTCATCGCCATCCAGGACAACTCGTGGGTATTACTTGTTGGTATATTTAGCTTGCGTGCATCGTAACGCGACGCGTAGGTGTTGGTACCCGGGTCATTCATAAAACATGCTCCACGTGGCGTTACTTTCTGTCCCGTTGAAAAAATAAGAAGAAAAGTAACATCTTCTTTATTTTTTCTTGCATGCGACTTTGTTTACTCCATAAACGATTCCATAAGATTCTTGATTCCTTGCTTCGATCGCATTGGTTACGTCAGAATTACACTTAAAAGTACTTATCACTTGCGAACAACTTGAAAAGTAATTTCGTATGGCACTAGCTGATCGTAGCCATGACAACGGTTATGCTTCCTCGAACTTCTCAAGAGAAAGAGAATACGCAAGACTCCTCTACCAAACGAACGCTCTCTTGCAGGACACGTACGCTTCCATTTCATCCCGTTCCGTTCCTGAGGGAGGACCGTCCTTCCTCCACCGTTCCGTACTTGGGGGACGGTAACTCGGTTACGACTGTTCTCAACTTTTACCCTAAAACCAGTCATGCACTTCGATTCGAGATCGAGCACTTTGCAATGCTTCATTTAAATCTATACAAAAAATTTTAATATTTCTTCGAAATAATTATTTAATATTTAAATTTACATTTTTCGCTTACTTACCGATCATAACAAATTTCTACATTAAACATTGAACAAATAATATTCTCACGTAATATCATCGTTACATGGATAAAGAAAAGATAAATTTTCTTTTTTGTTTCTTTTTTCTTTTTTGTCTTCTTTTCTTTATTATTTCAATTATACTCGATAATTTATTTTCATTATCAACAACAACCGTGGACATATGAATTTTATCTCACCGCTTTCCGAGATTTACTTTTCTTTGGAATAAGGTTTGTTTGCGGAACATTTCTTCCTTTTTTTCTTTTTTTTTTTTCTACTTCTTCCCCCCTCTCGTTCCTTTATCCGACCCTATTCTCCTTATCTTTTCTTTGCTTCTCTTTGGCTTCATCCCTTTCCCTTTTCACCCGTCTTCCCTCTTACCGTCTAAATACGTGACTCTTCTTCCTCGTAGCGGCACCTTACCCGTTTCAGGAACGTCACGATAGCACGAACAAGACAAACCAAATTTCATCTCCCTGTTCTCTCGGTGCGTTCATCGAGTAGTAGCCCCTTTTTCGCATTAGATCGACAAAAGGCCGCGCGCGCTCATCCCTTGCAACAGCCCTTTTGATGGGCAAACGCGTCGGCCCCGCAAAATTGTCGTTACGAAGGAAAAGCCCCCCCACCCAACCCTTAAATTTCGCACGAATCGCCAGGACAGGTCAAAGCCGAAATCCATCGCACTGTGCCGGGCATACGTGAGTCCGGCAAACGAATCCTACCCGCTGAGAATACTATACACGTATGTGTATTTATGTATCCACGTATATAGACCTTTAGAAGTGTGTGTATTTTAAAAAGGACGGATCATCGAAACCCCTCAACTGTAATGTCAGAACGAGCTACGCATTACAATGCTTTGTTGTTAATCCTAAACCCCCTACCCCGTTTAACTTATCAATGAATATTTCTTTTTTTGCCTTACTCCAACAGCAAATAATTCACTATACCTGATGAACATATTTACTCGTCATTTTCTTTCATCGCATTAACGTTCTCGATATCAAAAAAACAAGTCAACTTTGTAGAAAAAAAATACAACGAATCCTAAATTGAATTAAATCGATCGATCCATTGCCCGTTGATTCGTTTTGTTCGTTCGGGTTCACGTTCTTGCTAATAAATTTACGAGCAATTTCGATCGAACTTAATGACGCAATGTGAGCCAGTAATTTGACCCACCGTTTCTCGAGGTATAGAAATTGAATTCTTACGTTAATGGCATGTCTTTTATTGTCATTATAACACAACGCACTTTGTTTATTTTCTTTTTACCTAGATTAGGGATATCCAACCTGCTGTAGATGGTGGAAATTTCTTGCGATTGTTATAATCGATAATGATCAATTTATGAAGAAAAATTGTGTGTGTGTTTTATTTGTATCGATTGGTTGGATCTAAATTTAATTTTAAAATTCGTCTTCTTGAAGTAACATCATTCATTCGCTCGCATCTTCTTACCTTGCATCCGTTCACACATACATACAAACACACACACACCCATATAATCTTGCCGCTCATTCATCTCTCGTTCTCCTTATATGCATTCTCAGAATTCATTCTCGTTCATTTATTCATGGTTTATATCACGCATATCACTTTATCTATACCTTGTATATCATTCGTAGGTTTACTCATTTATTTCACACGCTTTATTAATAATTATTATAATATTAATATTCGGAGAATACGGATTGGAAAATTGTATTATTTTAGTTTTCTGCATATACAATGTTTAAGAAAATTCCTTTTCACTCAATGCACGGGTTCGAGCAACCAAAAAGGTTGGACACCGTTGTTGACCTACATCCTATTCGCCGAGCCGTTATTTACCATCATATTCGAGAAAACAGACATTTCATATCGCCTTCTTGAAAATTGAAGCAATATCTCGCCATATTTATTATCCCGTTTATATAGGAAAAAAGTAATCGAATTGTCCTTGCGATCCTTTTTTTCTTTCCTCTCATATCTCTTTCGAGTTTCATCCGGTGTCCTTGAACGAACGAGTAATATTTCATCGTTATACTTTTTATTTGTATATATCACAAGTTCTATTTCTGCTTACGTAACAGAATATACATATTCTACGATTCTTATGTATAGATACATGAAAACATACATATTATTATTATTATTATTATTACCATTATTATTTTTTCATTTTATTTCCGAAATGTTAAGTTTTCTTTATTTTGTTTAAGGATTATTTGAAGATTATGTTTTGTTTCCATCCGTATACACGTTTATTCGTATTATAATTAATATTAAATTTTACATACTTATATACAATATATATATATAAATATGTATATGCATTGTGTATATATTTAGATATACAAATGGATTAACTAAAATCGTTTGTTAACTAGCATATTGATAGAATTTCGAAGAATTCATTTGAAATAATCTCGATAAAGTTTTCGATATATCATTCAGTTTACACTTGGCTTGTTTTCAACCACGTAGCTTTTGTCAGTCAACATAACGAGTTACAGGGCTTATAATAATAACGGTTAGTCGAGAGAATTTGCTAAAGGATTTGTGATTTATTCAAAACGTCACATAGACTTATCGCGCACGTCTTCTTCCATTGTTCACGAAAGCTTCTATCTTATTTTTTCTCTCTCAAATATGATAAAGGTTTTAAAGAGGAAAGAATAAGATGGTGTACCGGATATATCAGCTGGTAGCAAGGAAGGTAAACGATCCTCTAGTCTTACATGAAACACCTTGGTGTGTAAAAAGGTAAAAAGATACAAAAAGGGAATACGTTAACTCGAGAGATCCAAAAAGGAAGTCAAACGAAATTAATTTGTTTGTAAGGAAGCAAAGACTTAGCGTATTATAATTAAACGAAATATTATAATAAGCTTTGAACACATATTATTAAAGCGTCTATTTAAATTTCTAACTTTCTCTTTTAACAATTTTTACATATACAATATTTTGTATTTTTTATTTTATTTTATTAATTGTGATGATGTTGAAAAAAATAATAGAGCAAAATAGATCCCATATAACTCAGTAAACTTATATAAAATATTATATCCTATATATTATAATTAAAGGATATATTATAATAAACTTTGACATATTATTAAACTATCCATTAAAGTTTCTAACTTTCTTCTAATAAGTTATGTACAATATTTTCTATTTGAGATTTTATATCACTGATTGTAAGTTATATACCATGATCTAGAGAAAGGTAATAGAACAATAGATCATATATAACTGATAATCAGTAAACTAATATAAAATACAAAATATTGTTCATATAAAATCTACTAATATAAGAAAATGAAAGAATCTTTCACGAGACACGATTTAATATAATTTAAATGAGATATTTTAATAAAACGAATGAGATGGAGGGAGATAGAGAAAGCAAGTAAGAGCGTGCGTGAGTGGACGTGAGTGAGAGAGAGAAAGAGAGAGAGTGAGCGAAAGGGAGGGGATAGAGTACGCACCTACGCGGGGATAAGTAGCCGAGGCGTGTATTCAGTTACGTCCGGTGCGTCGCGCCGTAAAGACGCGTCGCTTAGCGTCGCGTCGTGTTTTCTCATTTCGTTAGAGATGTTAATGAAAATAAAGAGAAAAGAAGAGGAGGAGCAAAAAATAGGAAACACGCGAGAGAGAGAGAGAGAGAGAGAGAGAGAGGGATAGAAATAGATAGATAGTCGATCGTGGTTTTGCGTTTGCACGATGCGCCTCGAGTCATCTCGTTCTTATTTCTATAATAATAATAATAATAATAATCGTATGAAGAAAAAGAAAAACGAGAACTCGAACACTAACTCGAATTCGAACGCGTACGTAAACGTATACGTAAACGTAAACGCAAAACTTAATTTAAATTTTAATCCGAACGATTCGAGAAAGAAAAGAAGAAAAACGGTGGGAGAAGATAGGAGGTGTCTACGTCACCCGCCGAGGATGAAAAGAAGGAGAAGGAAGAGGAACGACCCGTTACGTTTTTTCGCGTCTCGGTTGGGTCCTGATCGATCATTCATAAATTATGATTGTCTTTGACAATTATGATCGAAGAGTATTATTCATGCTGATGAGAGATTAAGAAGGAAGTTGCCGCTTTGTTCTTTGTTTTTTTTTCTTTGTTTTTTTTTTCCTTCTTATTATTTTCCTCTACACCTCTTCCTCTTCCTTTTCTTCTTCTTCTTCTTCTTCTTCTTCTACTTCGTCTTCGTCTTCCTCCTTCACCACTTTCCCCTTTCGCGAGTAGGTTGCAAACGGCGCGCCAAGTGAAACGTCCTTCCTTCATTCATGCACCCGAGTTAGCGTAGTTTCTTTCCTTTTATTATTATTTGTGTATTTTTGTTTTCTTTACCCTTTTTTTCCTTCTCTTCTTTTTCTCTTCTTCCTGGTGTCTCAAGTTGCAAATGAGATATAGACAGAAAAAGAAGAAGAAAGAAGACGATGAAAAAGAGAAAAGGTTGGATAAGATGATAATAAAAAGTTAATCCAAAAAACAAAAAAAAACAAAAACATAAATCTAAGAGGACAAGTGTCTCGGATAAAAACAAATGTTAATCGCGTTTGTTTGTCGGTGCAAAGTTATTCACAGTGCAATCGTAATCTATATACCTAAGTTACTACCGAGAAAAAGAGATAGTGCATATCGTGAATAGATTTTTGGTGTCTAAAAACGAAAGACTATAATTAGTTAAAAGTGCAATCGCGGAATCATGGCTTGCATCAGGGCACCAAGATCCGTGCGCAGTTCTACCGACGATATTAAAGCTGATTCTACTCGCAATATTGTACAGGTATACTTCGTTCGTTTATTTTCTTTATCAATAAAAGAAAAAAAGGATTATATTTTAAATGATTATAATATTACTTAATCAACGTACGATTTTTGACGACAATTTTTTTCCCATTTTATTAACGTACGTCTGGATGAAGAATCTATGTTAAAATTTATATTTCCTATGTTACAAGTTTGCAGTATGTAACATACGTTGATTGGATGGGTTGAAAAGTTACGTGGCTATTATTTTGCAAAAAAAAAAAAGTTTTGAAATTACTATATCGAAAAATAAAAGTATGATCGGATGAACAAATTGTTTTTAGAATTTTGTTAGTTTATAAAAACTTGTTAATTTACCTAGTTATTGTTCCAGATATTAATTTTTTTTTGTCTCGAGTTATAGAAATTGTTTATATAAGAATAATTAGAGCGAAATGTCATAGAACTGTTTTGATCAAGAATTGTAGGTTTACTTCGTATATTGGAATGGTTCATCGTTCGTTAGACGTGAAACCGCGTGAGACACGAACGTGCCTTTGGTGGTTACGTACGTACGGTTAATGATCGTAAGTGCGAGTACGTGATGGGACGTACGATCATGCGATCGACGTACCAATGAGATCGCCGGTTATGTTCCTTCCACGAACTTTCTTCTTTCTTCGTCTACGCACAGACTACGAAAAACGTTTAGTTCGAATCAACAAATTACATCTTCGTTCTATATGTATACCTATTATACCGAATGCACATACGCACACTCCTATAATATTTCATTTATTTGTATTATTCACAGATCTACACCGATTGGGCGAATTATTATCTCGAACGAGGTGGTTCTAAGAGACGAGTTTCCGATCTCCAAGCCGATCTCTGCGACGGTGTCCTTCTTGCCGATTTGGTGGAAGCTGTCAGTAAGTTCAATTTTTCATGATATAATAGTAATGCAATTAATTTCGATTCAATCGTCATTGGTAATTATTTTTTTGTAACGACACGTAAGCGGAATTGACGCAAGGAGGATTAACGAGTAACAGTACCGTACTATACATGTATCTCAACCTGTACTCGTAGATTCGTTTATGGCGTTGGACAGTTACCTATAACATATAGATATATTCGTGTATTTGCGTGTGCATTGGATGCATAACAAATATTTCGTCAAGTATCGAAAGAAATAATTAACATTTCGTTTGGAAACTAAAGAGAAGGATTTGTTTGTTAACATTGATCTTACATACGTATTGTTTTTTTCTTTTTCAGCGAATCAGAAGGTGATCGACGTTAACCGAAAGCCCAAGAGCGTTCAACAAATGGTGAGTTAGAGATATACTTGATAAAATGATAATATATTACGTTTGCCAGGAACTTCCTGACGTGTAGGAGTTTCCTCGGCGAGTCCATTAAAGTGCCGTTCTAAGGCGGCTTACGAAGTTGTCCTTTAAAAATAGAAAGCATGCAACCACGTTTAGGGCACGTAAAGAAAGTCTAGAAAAGCGTCGCGATTCGTCTCCACAAGCTACAGCATTTATATAGTTCATAGTAGTTTCTTATTCATTTCTATCCCATTGTAATGAGATAACATTGTGTTTGCATAAAAAAGATTGAAAATTGTACAAAATTTAATACTCCTACACGTGTACGAGACAACACGTGTGCGTATGACTGTACGATTATCTTAAAAATTTCGAAGAAAAATTATAAACGTATAATACAAACGTTTCCATTTACGAAAGCACGTAATATAAAACGAAAACGTTAATATAATAATGTTTTTGTAAAACTAGTCACGCGTTAACTCGTAATCGTAATTCATATTAAATCATAATTTCTCACAATAGATTTTATTTTCATTCCAATTTCGCGTTTTGTAAATGTCAAATATTGGAAGATCGAACGAGGGTAGAGAACAAAAAATTCAAGGAATAAAATTAGGATGTATAGAATACCAAAGTAGGTGTGGAATACTTAGAAAGTAGAATGATGAAAAAAAATAAGATAGGAAGAGAAGAACACTTGATTAAGATAGACTGATGCATCTCGGACAAAAAACTAACCACGCGTCACTTCCGGATAAGAATCACATAGACAGATTACATTTCCAATTTGAAAGCATTATCCTAACGTTCATTTGCATAATCCATAGTTAACATCTCTGCTTGCCACTTCTAAGTTCTAAAGAAAAGAGAATTGTATTACGAGAATATATTTACACTCTTATTCTAAATTCAACTCGTTTTTAGATTATTTCGTAGAAACGTTGAAAGCGTAGGTAACGATGTATTTCTTTTACAGAAAAAAAAGAAAAAAAAAAAAACGAAAAAACCGTTGCTTTCCTTGTAAAGTTATGAATAATCAATTAACGAACGGTATAATATCTACACCAATTGATATTAAACATATTGTTGTATCGATCACTCGTATAATCCTATATTTGTTGTTATTGTAATATTATTCCTCGCATTTGTTAATACTTATTTAAATTCTAACATTACAAATAATTATAAATTATTAATACGCGAGTAGGGGTTTGAAAAGTTTCGAACATAACATAGAACATCTTTGTTATGTTCGAAACCACAGCTCAAAACTTTTCAAACCACCCTCGTAAAATCCAATATTAAAAACCATTATTAAAATCAATAAAATTTCTGCATATAATTAATCACCGATCAACGATAAAAAGAAAAGAGAAAATAATCTTCATATAAAGAATATGCAAAAGAAAATATTGAATATATACAATAGTCAGTTAAGAATTCGTTATTAAAACAAGTAACGTTTTCAAGCTGAGATTCGTACCTAACTTAAAGTGTTCCTAGGGGAGAAAAAAAAGAAAAAGGGCAACCGTTAGAAGAAGTCTTTAGGTAATTTCGTGCTGCTAGCTTGCTACCCTCGTTGTATTGTGTCGTCGTAGAAACGCGTGCCGGTTCTCCTTCTCCGCGTGGTAGACGCAAGTCGGTCTGCCTCGCCGATTTCGCGGTGTCGAGGGTGGACGAAGATGAAGAAAAAGTGTGAGAAAGAAAGCGAAAAAGAGAGAGAGAGAAAGAGAGAGAGAAAGAAAGATAGAGAGATAGAGAAAAGAAGGGCTTGGGTCTATAATTAAAACACTCGTTTGCTTGCTTGCTTGCTTGCTTTCTTGCTTACTTACTTACTTACCCGCTCACGCTGCTTGCGCGCACGAATACGCACACATACATAGCAGGTATCAGTACGGTTGAGAACGCGCGAACGCGAAAGTCAAATCACGTGTTTTGCCTTCGAGGTAACGCGTAGCACGCGACTTACATGCTGTCCTGTTTCTTTCTTACTCCTTGTCTTCTTTCAATTCCTACTCTCTCTCTCTCTTTCTCTCGTTTTCTTTTTGTAGAAGAAAAAAAGAAATTGAAGAAACAAATAATAGAACAACAAGAGTACATCGAATTTGGATTTGACCAAATGATCCGTTCGATTGGATTTTTTTTGTGGGGGATGGGGTAGGATCTTAGGGGATTTAAGAGATATCTAATAAAGTTCTAATTCGAAATTTGAAAAGGTATAATAACGATTGTAAGAGCCACCGCGCCGTATCTTCTGGACGTAGTAAGTCCACTACTCGGTTCGTCGCGATCTATTTCTATTTCGCAGAGTGGTCCACTCGTTTCGTCGCAGCATGGCTCTGAGTCATTCCGTATATTAGTCAACCACTGTGCTTCGGTTCTAATGAGACTCTACGCGATATATAATTTTATAAATAAAATTTCTTTTCGACTATGGATAAAATAAATCGATAATTCCGATCTCTCGATATCATTAATGGGCTCGTATATATATATATGAATTCTCTTTTCTTTTGTTTTTTGTTATTATTATTTTTTTTTCTCCCTTTCTTTTTTTTTTTTTTTTTTTTTTTCTAACAGTAAAACCATCCAAAGTATAAAGTCCTCATTGTGTGGATACACGCATATATATACACGTACGTAAATGCATACGAAAGTACTTTGTGCACACCGATTAATAGAAATGTTTGAATCGTAAATCGACAAAGAGAAGGAAGACCATTTGTAAATATACGTCACGAGTCGAAAGAAATTTCGTTGAAATAGTCTCCTCCTCTTTTATTCATATAAAATATGATGATTGTATTGTAAATGAATTGCAAACAAATTGTAAATGGATTATTGACACAGACACTTGAGATCGACCAATGGAAGAAAAGATAATGCATTACTTTAAGAGACACATCTTCCTAACGTATTATTTTTCTTTAAAATTTTCTTAACCATATATTAAACGAATAATTTCCAACATGTTTATTACTAATTGTTTCCTACTATTCGTTTCGTAATGACAATTACGTTGAAGAATTTGTCGTACATTCCGTTATAATTTCATGCAATAATCGATAATTACGTAGGTTTAATTACTGTAATTAAACGTTCGATATAACGAAGTAAGTATCGTAAATACGTAGGAAGAAGAGAAATCAATGGATTCGCGTAACCTGCAATTTCTGATCAATCCAACCCTTTCGTTCTTCCTTTTTCTAATGATTATCATTTTGTAGCTGCACGTGGATATATTCGAGAGATGTAACAATATTTTATCTTGCATTCACATTCCAATTAATTTTATATTCAACAATCAGAGAAATTGATAATATTAGGTTAGCCAAAATTTGTAAAAATGATTAGAAAAAATTATTTCCTTTGTCAAAGTCCATGTGATCTTTTTCGTATTATTTACATAAAAAAATACTAGTATAAATTTATCGTCCAACCTAATATAAATCAAAATAAAATAAGTCGGCACGAATTTTCTTACAACCCCAGCTTAATCTATAATAATTTCGTTCAAACTATTGTCATTTAAATACAAGACAATTACGAACGCGTAATCGAAATATGAAAAAGTTATATTTTCTAAAGTATTTTTAATAATGAATCCTAAATGACATATGAAATGACGAGAAAAAGGAAAAAAAGAAGAAACCCAGATGCAACCTTGACACAACTCGATGAATTATTTATAATTATCCTTTTATATTTATACGCATATAAAAAGCATAGTCAAAAAATATGTTTAGAATAGAACAGATCCACGAAGTAAGGTCGTTATGGTATGCATAAGGACCAATCGCGTGACAGAATCAGCACGAGGATCCACGTGGATACCTGCTCGGTTGATGGTTCGCATACAAAACGAATTATTCTATCATACAGAGTTCCACTAACACACACACCTTATTTCGTCCTTATTTTCTCTCTCTTTCCTTCTTTCCATCTTTTCTGTCCTTGTCTTTTCTGAAGAACCTACCTCCCTCTCTCTCTTTTCTTCGTCCCCCCACCCTATCCATCCAATTGCTATGTTGCTTACCTCTACCTCGTGTCTCTGCGCGTTTTCTCTCTCTCTCCTTTACTCTCTCATTGGTTGGTATCTTACCGTGGGTCCAGTAGTAGCAAGGCTGCCGAGCATGCGAATCGGCGAGATCGTTGCTGGTTCTTGCATCAATCGGTGATCCTTATTTATTCGGAAAACTATAATGGAATTTTTAAATTGACCGACAAAATTTTGTGAATCAATTTTACATTACGCGCATCTCGTTACAAATTTGTATTGTAAAAAAATTTCGAAAACTTGTCAACAAAGAAAGAAGATTGGAAGTCGCGTGTCGTCGATTTAAGAAATACATCGTTGAGATTGATAACGAGAACGAACCCTCCCAAAGAAAAAAAAAAAAAGAAAAGACAGAAAGTAAAAAAATAAAACATAATTGAAGAAAGACGTGTGAATCTTTTGAAAGGAAAATTTGTTGAATGTAACGAATAAGATATTTCTATAAAAGAAGAAACGTGTGTATGTGTGTATTTTGTGACGAGTTGACGATTTGAGTAGATACTTTCTAAAGCGTATAAACTAATTTAAGTTCGTGTTTATTTGTTCAATATGATGAAAGAGGAAGATATATAGAAAGAAAGAAAGAAAGAAAGATAGTAAAAGCGTTCTAGTGTCTTCTTCTTTTACTTCTTCTTCTTCTTCTTCTTCTTTAAGAAGATTATAAATAGGTGCGAGGAAAACGTTCTCTCGAAGCAATATTTTCACGCTTGGTGAAGCGACAATTAATTGGCTTCCAACGAGGACGAAAAGGGAAAATATTTCTCTTTGAACAAGTTCGCTGTTGGTAACTAGCGACAACGACGACGACGACTAGGAGGACGAGGACGAGGATGAGGACGAGGACGATGGTTCCCCGCGCGATTTCGATAATCGTGGTCAATGGCCGCCGTACCGATGCTTAGAAACGCATTTATCTTTCAGCGATCGAACGATAAAAGGA